TTATTTTGAATAGACAATAATAGTTCTAACCCGCCTTCTTCTCGATGAAAAAGAAAACAAACGCGTATTTTAGTGATACAGAAAATCAATGAGTGAGGAAAACACTTTGCGCCCCGATCAACTGATCGGTTAAGACTGAATGCACATTTCGATGATAAGATGGGTTGTATAGACATGACAAGTTACTTTTATCGAGGTATCATGGTATAATATATGTTGAAATGGACGGAAGGGAGGAGAGAAGAGGGGAGTGGCAAAGGCAGGATCAACGGTTTCCATAGCATTTAATCCGAAGAAGCACTGACGTCAATGGAAATGTGGGGACTCGTTAGGGCTGAATAAATCCATAAAGCTGAGAGCTGGCACACTTTTATAAGGAGTAAGACAACGAAGAAGGTTGTTGCTTAGGGCGAGAAAGCCAGAAAAAAGGGGCATATAGCCAGAGAAGCATGCATGGACATGTTTGTGCGTGTGCGCGACGGCGCCTACTCCGGTTCGATAATGAGGAGAAGAAGCAAATGAGCTTGGAGCAGCAAACAGAAAAGCCCCTATGAAGTCTTTGCCCATCGATCGTCACGTCCCCAGAAAGGATTATATCGTGGATGTTCATTATAATCCCATAGAGCCATCTAGAAAACGGAAAACAAGAATGAAATAGATGACTCATAGTCAGTAACAACTTTCGATTAAAAAAACAGCGGGATAGAACTGAAAACGGAAAACGTTTGAAACAGGGGAAGGGAACAGTTTTGTGAGTGAATCGAGAAAAGTCTCCAGCCTGCCAAACTGATGAATAAATAAAATCGACTGATAGGAGAGAAAAGTGTTATTTGCACTCGAACCTCAAGAGTTCGTCGATTCGAGCACATTGTGGAAAATAAGCGAAGAGCGATGACCAACGATCGATAATGATAGGCTTTAGTGGATAAATCCAGGGCAATTGAATTGAATACGCAAGAGCTACTTACGGAGCTAAATGATAGGGTACAAAAAGAGAATTCACCACAAATACAGAAAAATGCAGCGGATGCGGGAAAACACTAAAGTTCAGATGAACACAATTCTAAAACAACAAATTTATAATAATGCTAAGGTCTCGCAATGATTCGACAAAATGTATGCACAAGGTACGGTAGAGAGGCATGCGCCTTTGATTTCGTGTGCGGAATACGGAATTTCCTTTTATCGATAAAAATTCAGAATTTTTTTGCAGTGTTTTGTTTTGGTTGGCTGTTTAAGCATTCTCATTTAAAAATGCAGACTCAAATCCAATATTTCATAAATACATTATTTTCAGGTGACAAAATACAAAAACGGCAAACGGATTTCTACCCTCACGACAATATAATTAAATCAACTACAACCAAAAGAAGGTTAGTTACTGAAAATAAGGAAGAATAGACTCGAATGTAAGAGTGCACGATCAACTTTGGAAGTAAAGTATCGATTCTTGTCATGTAGTATCGAACGGCATTGTGTAGGCACTCAGTCCGCCTCTAGACCCGGTGCGAATGAGAGAGTGAGAGAGAAAGAGACGAGGAGCGGAGGAAATGACAAGCAGAAGGAGAAGCATTCACTTTGAAACATGCGCAGACATGCTTGCTTCACTTCGTAAAAACATTAAACGAACGTCGGAGGGCCGAGGGAAAAACGAAGGCGCGGTGGCCGTCAAGCGACCGTCCGGCGAACCGAATTGAGTCGACACGGCGGCCAGCCGGTCCCCAAGGAGGCGGTATAAGAAGAAAAGAGAAAAAAGACAACACATACACACACGTCGACCAAATACACTGAAATTCTTCATTCTCTTCCGCTCTCTCGCTCTCTCGCCGATCGGCCTCCCTTCTTTTTTTGCGTTTTTTGTGTGAGTGTCATTGCAATTGCTCCTATTCTCTGCCGCCTCCGCATCTCACCACTACTCTCTTCTCCCATCAGCCTCCCAAGCCACCCCTCTATCCAACACCAGCGAGTTTTCGGTGCCTGTGTGCTTCTAATTTTCCTGGTGTTGCACTTTGATTTCTTTGTTTCTCACTATTCTTTTTCTATTTTTTCTCCATTTTCAACTCTTAGACCTACATCTGCTAGGCTCATTACCCATTATCAATTGGTTCGAAACCTCTTGTTCAGTCCGATTGAATGTTCTACAAGTGCAAATCAGTCCAGCCTTGCCTTTCCATATTCAAAACATTTTGAGTTTCTCATCGATTAGAGTTACAGTCACTCAATTAGTTTTCAAGAATCGATGTACATCCACTTGTTTGTTTTCAAATAGATTTTTGTTGGATGCCCACCATGACGTATTTCTATCTTCGAAGACATCACTCCCACGATGTGCGGCCGACAGAAAGAATTTCCGATTCCTATTCCTGGTCACAACTGATATACCGAATGAAATGTCCGATATATCTATGTTTACGCGTACATCATCCATGTGACAAAAATCGCAGTTTTGCTTAAGTGCGCACGTGCTTCTGGTCGTCATGACAATTCGGACGTTTTCAGTGTCTTTCGCTCTCTCGCCACTTTCAAATTAAGATTTTGAAATATTCTTTTAAAAATGCCCTTTTCATTCTGAGTTGCTATTGCATCCGATCTTCCTACTTTCGAAGTTCGAAAATCATGTTTAATTTGTAAATAGAATCTTTGCTTTTTGTATTTCAACTATTACGAGAAAAATTTTTAGCTTAATCTAAACTGTAAATTTCGAATACTGTGCTCGTAAATACTCGTTAA